TGGGGTCGCCTCTGTCCCTCTGGCCTGGGATGCTCCCACCCTAGCAGCAGCCTGGGGTGAGACCCGCTCTCTCTCCCAGGCCTGCCTGGTTCCTGTTGCGTTCTCTCGCCTCCTCTTCCCCCTTCCAGGCCCAAAGGCTTGTGAGGAACACAACGCACCCACTTAGCACCCCGTTTAATGTTCCTGTTTAATGTTCCTCTCCGGGCGCTGTGGTTTCTGGGAGAACAGACCTGATTTTCCGGGGTTGCCCCAGACACCGCCTGCGACTCCCTGGCTGCTCAGCCGCGCACTGTTGACACCCACCGGGCGGGAGGAGTCTGAGGGGAGGGCCGGCCGGTGCCTTGGAGGGCCTTCACCCCTGCTCTCCATGCACTCGATGCCAGGAGCTCCCCAACCAGCCATGACCATGCAAAATGTCCCGACACTGCCCTGTGTCCCCGCGTGGGGGGGTCGCCACGCTGAGAAGTACTCGTAGGACCTCTACTAGGCCTCTCCCTCCTGGCTTTCTATCCAGACAATTGGGATGGCCTGGGGGGCGGGGGGCTGGAGTGTCCAAGGGGAGCAGTGACTGTGTCAAAGCTATGTCATCACACGCTAGACCAGTGGTTCTCAACCTTCTGGCCCTTTAAATACAGTTCCTCATGTTGTGCCAGGGGTCCTTAAACTTTTTAAACAGGGGATCAGTTCACTGTCCCTCAGACCGTTGGAGGGCCGGACTATAGCTTAAAAAAAAAAACTATGAACAAATTCCTATGCACACTGCACATATCTTATTTTGAAGTAAAAAAACAAAACGGGAACAAATACAATATTTGTATTTGCATGCGGCCCGCGGGCCGTAGTCTGGGGACCCCTGGTATGTGACCCAACCAAAAAGTTATTGTCGTTGCTACTTCATAACTGTAATGTTGCTACTGTTATGAATCATAATGTCAGGATGGTCTTAGGCGACCCCTGTGAAAGGCTCATTCGACCACCAAAGGGGTCACGACCCACAGGTTGAGAACCGCTGCGCTAGACGGATCTTTTTAATGTGGTCAGGCTGGCTGGCTGGGTCCGGCGACAGTGGTCAGTGAGGATCAGGAGGCCATATCTGGACAGGTCATGGGTCCCCATCACCCCCCTAACTATCATTAGACCCACAGCTTTTCACTTTTGCCTCATCCTAGACAACGCCGGCTTTGTCAGACGATTGGGATAAACGGATCGAATCCAGTCCCCTCCGTGTTGCGGCTGGTGAACGTGGGGCCCCGAGAGAAGGCGGGCCTGGGCCCCACTCAAGGGGGAGGTAGCCTGAGCCACAGACACCATTCCACACACCTGGAATGAACTGCCCGTGTTTGCTGGGTGGAGGTAGCGGGGATGTGCAAGCAGGAATTAGAAGATGCAGAGGACATTTCTAGAAGGATACAAATAATTGGGCCCAAAGCCAGTTCCTGATAGAATCTCCCAAGAGGAGATTCGGACCCCAGCACCTAATCCCTCTCTCTCAACCTTCCGGAACTCAGGCCCACCTCAGTGCAGCAGGCCAGTGGCTGGAGCATCCCTCGCTCTCCTGCAGCCTCGCCTGCTCTAACCTGTCCACGCTGCCTCCCCACTGGACCCCACTTCCTCCTCCCTGTATTCCACCGAAAATAAATTCAATTGGAGACCGCGAGTGCACCAGTCCCAGAGGTGGGCCGCCACTTAGGGAGATAATTTTATTCCCTGGCCTGGCCGCGCACCGCCCCCTCCAGCTCCATGCGGATAATGAGGGAAGCGGTGACATACACGCTTCCCTCTGACCTAATTGATTATCCTACACACCTTGGAGCGCTTTGCATAACCAGCCCAGACAGCAGGAACCCCTGCCAGGCGGAGTGATTGACACATTTTAGTTCTAATTGAAGCTTAATCAGGACCAAGGATGAGATTCCCATGTCCTTCCTCTCTCTCTCTCTCTCTCACTCTCTCTCTCTCCCTCACCCTCACCCTCACCCTCACCCCCTCTCTCCCTTTTTCCCTCCTTCTCTCCCCTAGCTTCCCATCTCCTTTTTAAATCCTAGGGCTGGACAGTAAAGGATGGGGGCTGTTCCTAGGGCCTCTGAGAGGAGGGAGAGGGAGGTCTCGGGGAGGAGGCTCTGGGAGGAGGACGGGGAGCCCGCTTCCCGGTGAAGTGCAAGTGCAGCAAAAGGGAGCTGCCTCCTGGTCCCTCTCTCAGCTCAAAGCCCTCGGGGGCCTTTTATTCTCTCCATTACCCTGTCTCTTTGGGGTCAGCCTGAGGCCAGGTGAGGGCCCATGTGTTTGCTCATCCCACGGAGAACATGCAAACCCGGGATCTGCTCTTGGGTTTCCCCCTCCCCCCTCTGGCACCCACACCTCCTGCCCTTGCAGTGGGCAGGGCGGGTCTCCCCTGAGGACCCTTACTCCTGGGATGGGACAGGCTGCGGAACGCGTGGAACCCAGGGTTTTCACTGGAGAGAGAGCAGGACAGGCACTCAGATCTCTTAGGGCTCTGCCTGACCCCCCCACCAGCTCCCTCTGCACAGAGGCAGGCTTCCCCCTCGGGGGTCTTCAGCCATCACCCCCTCTCCCTGCTGCACCCCTGCTCGGGCAGTGCCCGCCCAGGTTCAAGGCCCAGGCAGTGGGCACTGGCTCCACGTCTGGGGGTGAGGTGCCCAGGGTCAGAGCTGAACCAGAGTTGCAGCCTGCGGCCAGGCAAGGACCCAAACTTTAGGGGGAGAAAAAGTGAAGAAAGAGTGGGGAGAAGGGGAGCCTGGTGTTCTGGAGGCCGGCCCTGCCTCTACTCCCCAGACCTCTGTGACCTCCTTCCCACTGGAGCCTGGAGTACTGCACACCCGCCTGCGTGGGGGTCCTGAGCGGGGGGGCGCTGTCAGCTGTATCCTACATAGACCAGTCCTTGCTGGGCAGCCTCTGCTCCTGCCCAACCTCACAGGTGGCTCTGGGGGTGCAAGCTCTCCCCAAACCTCCCCGGAGACCCGTGAGATGGTCACACGCCTCACTATTGGGGGCAAACACCTAGTATCTGGCCGCCTTATAAATACACGAATTGCACATGGGGAGGGAGACACAAAACAGGTCCCCCCACTTTGCACCCCGGCGCATCGTCGCTCTTCCAGATTCCCCTACAACTTCATGTCAAAGTTGGGCAAGGCTGGGGCCTGAAAGAGAAAAAGAGGGTGTGGAGGGGCGGCGATGCCTGGCTGGACAGGCCACCGTGGCCAGCGCCCAGCGGCCTCTTTGTCCTGTAGAGGGAGCTCTAGCCCCAAATTTCCCGGGCTCCCTCCCCTGGCCAGCCGGCCCCTATCTGGCTGCCGGAATCTGGGCTGGATCCTGCTTGGGTCCGAACCACCACCGCGCCCTGACCTCCCAAGGCTGCCCTTGCAGGGCACCTGGGAAACCCACTGGGGCGCCAAGACGCACAGATGCCGCCAGGCCCTCCAGGCCCCCAACTCTCAATTCGGACTGGACACAGTCACCGGGAGGAAAGGCTGGGCTCCCCTAGGCTCCTCCATACCCTCCTCCTCTCCCCCCAACACACTCCTTCTATAAGGCCTCTGGGGGTGCACTGTGGTTGGAAGGGGGCTTGAAGCTGGGCTTGCACCGCCCCTTCTCTAAGAATGAACCAACCTCAATTGTTACTAAGAACGGGGCGCAGGAAGAGCGAGCACCTCCTAACCTAACCCCTGTGTCCACACCCTGCTCTAAGTCATCAGAGGACCTCCCCCCCAAGACCCCGCAGTTGGGTGCGAGGACCAGCGGGTTGGACCCAGTTACCCGTTGCCCTGGTTGCCCACCTGTCTCCTGGGCCCCTTCTCTCCGGAGCCCCAGGGGCTTCTCCAGCAGCGCCCCCAGCTTCACCGCGTGTGCACCTCCACCTACCTCTGCCTTCGCCTCCAACTCAACCTGTGCTCTCCTCTCATCACAGGGTGCAGACTCCTCTCTCTGGGTCTTTTCTGCGGATTCCAATGGCTCTTTAAACGGGGGTGGGGATAGGGGTGGGGGG